CCAGCATTTTGGTCGCTTTATGTGGCTCATGATGGCCTTGAACTCATACTCAAATTAGCCACGTGACACTGAACACTGACAGTGAAGGGTGACTTGTGGAGTGCTCTGATTAGTGGGCACTCGCCATACCCAGCTTTTTTTTTTTTTTTTTTAAAGATTTATTGTATAAACAGTATTCTGTCTGCATGCCAGAGGAAGGCACCAGATCTCACAGGTGATTATGAGCCACCATGTGGTTGCTGGGAATTGAACTCAGGACCTCTGAAAGGGCAGCCAGCAGAAGCACTCATAACCTCTGCCATCTCTCCAGCCCCACCGAGGTTTACGGAGTGCCGGTGCTCAGACTCAGGGCTTCTGTTAGAGTGCTTCAGGCATGCACGGCACCAGCCCCAGCCTGTTTGGTTTTTTGAGATAAGCTCTAGCTCTGCTGCTTCAGGATGCTATCAAATTCCTAGGCTCAAGCAGTTCCCACACCTCAGCTTGCCAAATGGCGAGACAACAGACATGCGTTGCTGTGTCTGGCTTCAGCACTTCATGTGCCTGTTCATTGCTAAATACCATGCATTGTGTGGACAGTCCTCGTTTGTCTGTCTGTCCTTCTGTCGACGGGCATTCAGGCTGTTTCCATTTAGGGTTGTTATGAATAATGTTGCTTTGAGTGTCCATGTGCAAGTCTTTGTGGGGACACGTCTTCCTTTTTCTTGGGTATTGTCCCGATTGATCTTCATTGTCACCTTGACTGGATTAGAATCATCACGGAAACACACCTCTGGGTGCATCTGCTGTTTTCAGAACAGTTTTGTTTGCTTTTGTCTTGCTTTGTTTTGAGACAGGGTTTCATTGTGTAGCCCTGGCTGTCCTGGACACCAGGCTGGCCTCAAACTCAGAGACTCCCTGTGTCTGATGACTCCCTGTGTCTCCCAGGAGCTAGAATCAAAGGCGTGCGCCTAGCCTAGCCAGAACAGAGGAGAGAATACCCGTGGTGAATGTGGACAGCACAATTCATTCCATAGGCTGGAGTCCCGGGCTGAACAGAACAGAAAGCCAGCTGAGCGCCGTTGGCCATGTCTTCTCCTGTAGATAAGGTGTGACTGCCTGATCACATTCCTGCTGTGAGCCACAGTAAACACTTCTTTCTTAGGTAAGAGCAGTGAATACTAGCAGCAGGGAAACTCAGGCTGGTGAGGGTGCAGCCGAGCTGGCAGTCTGCAGCCTGGAAGAGGGCCCTCACCAGAACCTAACCCTGTTGGGACTTCCATCACTGATTGCTGACCACTACAACTGTGAGGAATATGTATGTTCACTGTGTGTGTGTGTGTGTGTGTGTGTGTGTGTGTGTGTGTGTGCGCGCACGTGCACTTGCATGCATACTGTATATGGGAGAATATGGGAGATTGGGAGATCAGCAGGCAACTGGTGAGACTTATTTCTCTCAACCATGTGCTTTCTGAGGTTGGGAGTCAGGTTGGCCGGCCTGGTACTAAGTGCCCTTATTCACCAAGACATCTTGCTGCCCCTAGCTGCTCTTTTTTTTTTTTTTTATCTCATTGTTGATCTGCCCATGTGTACTCTGATTACGATGAGGTCAGAGTCCATTCCAGCAGGGTTTCTTCAGTGTCAAATCATCTCTTGTTGTGACCCTGGTAGCTATAAACAGGTAATATATAGGCCTAGAGTCCTTCCTTTGTAGAGAACATTATGTAACTTTCTCTGGAAACAGAAGAAAATTGCTTTTCCTTGCGAGAACTCTAAAATCTCAGCCACTGCTCACAGAAGTTCCAGGTCCTTGAATCACTGTGGTGCTTTGAATGAGAACGTCCCCCATAGGCTCAGATATTTGAATGCCCATCCCCCAGTCAGTGGAGCTGCTTGAGGAGGAGGAGGTATGGAGCTGCTGGGGAAGCGTGTCTCTTGGGGCAGGCTTTGAGATTAAAAGTCTCCACCTCTTCAGTTTTCCCTCTCTGCTTCCTGCTTGTGTCTGAACACGTGAGCTCTGACCTTCCCGTTCCGCGGCCATCCTTGCAGCTTGCGGCCGTGGCTCCTACCATATTGCACTCCTATCCCTCTGAAACTGTAGACCCAAATACACTTTTCCTTCTGGAAATTGCCTTGGTCATAGTGTCTTATCATAGCAACAGAAAAACAACCAATACACCTGTTGGGCTATTTCCGGCCTGGGTGCCTTTGTGGGTGAGGGGATGAGTGGACTGGTCCACCACTCCCAGGGTCAGCTGTGCTACGCCACCCTCTCGGCAGCTGTGGAGGACTTACAAGGTTCTTTCATGGCTCTAAGTGGCTTTCAGAACATGTTGGTGTTAATATAGGTGAATATGCAAATTATTGAAGGGGGAGTTAATTTTAAAGAAGGCAACTTTTAACATGGTAAATTAAAATTTTTAGATACTCTGTTTGAGAAAACGTGTGTGTGTGGAGTCCACGCAGATTGGGCTGATCGCTGTCTGTATTGCTGATACATATAGTATCAGTTAGGGTTGGTGGGGCACAGTGAGAGGGAGCAAAACCATGCATTCTAGTAATGAACTAACTAAGGCTAAAGCCTAATATTCCCACATAACAACTGTTTAATTTACTCAGGTGCTGATTTGTGCCTCAGTTTCTCTGTCTATAAAATGAGGACTCAGCAGCACTACCTGTCTTATCAGGTCTGTTGTGAAGGTCATGCAGGTGTCATGCCCACAGTGCTGACAGCAACGTCCGACCCACAGAGAGCCGGTGCAGTCTGTACGATGGCAGCTGGTTCCCGTAACTCTGTGTGGTTCTACGTGCGGCCTTTGGCATCACAGCTCCAGTCCAATGTAAAACGAGTAAAGGACTCATGGCTGTGGATGTCGTTGGCTCTGGACCCCCACTACAGCCAGCGTTGCTTTAACTTTAAAAAGTGCTCTTTTTGGGAAGTTATAGAAGAAATTGAAGCACAGGAAACATGTCTGTGTTAAGTGCTTTCCTAAGGCCGCCATGATGAGCAGTACTACAAAACAACAGGTACTCACGCTCATGGTTCTGAACTGGAGAGGTCTACAATGAAAATGGTGGGGAAGAGAGGATCTGCGCCGTCGTTTTTGGTGTCCCTCGGGCTTGTTCCATCATGTTATGCCAGTCCTTGCTTCCATGTGACCTTGCTTTCTCTGGTGGTCTCTCCTTTTCTCTCCTGAACTTCGCTTTGTCTTCTTCAAAGACCATTGTCAGTGGATGGAGGGGCTGACTGGATAATATTACTAGGATGATGGTCAGACAACTGTTTATTAAGGCTGCAAAGATCCTTGACTCCCGGGATTAGGACACGAGCTTCCTTCTTTTGGGTAGGAGGGCACCTTCATTTTTCTGCAGTGAGTGGGAAATGAACCTCTGATCTCTGTAGGCCCCAGCACTCCTCCCGCCCCCACCTCTCCTCTTAACTGATGGTCCTGCCTGGAGAAACCTTCAGAAGCCTGAGTCTGGAGCTGGAAGCAGGTCCGCTGATGGCTGGGCACGCAGAGAACTAGGGAAAGTCAGGGCAGGTGTACTGACTTCCTTGGTTCACGAACATTTTACAGGTGTTTCTACGGGGTAGAGGCCTCCGGCTCATTGTTAAAGTTAAATTCTTTAGTGCCCTCGCTTCCTCCTTCATACCCATGAGTGTGCACAGGTTGGGGCAGGATGAAGACTAGGCATGCCAGTCACTGGGTGATGGGTTTTGGTCTGCTTCACTTTGCTTTTGATGGAATCTCACTATGTCACAAATTCCTTAAGCTGAAACAATCCATTCTCTTTAGCAAAATGGTCATTCACTTTCCAAATAGCTGAGACTGCATGTTCTACCACACCCAAGTTTATTTGTGGTTTCCAATATTTAAGTCATAGCATGGGGGAAGCACCTTAGAGTAAAGCTTGCTCTTACACGCTTGAAGGTCAGAGCACCGTGTGTCATCAGTACCGTGATACTGAAAGCCTTGATGCCGAAAGGCTGGGCTGCCAACCGAGCTCTGTGGGAGGTGTTTATGAAGCCAGCATAGAGGTGGGAAGTACTTACCCATTAGAGTATCGTGTTTCTTGTGGGTGGACAAGGAGATGGCCCCTGGTCCTGGATTCTCCCTAGGCTGGGCTCTGGGACAGGGCATGGCTGACAGCCAGGCTGGATCTTGGCCTATAGCCAGAGTAGGATAGATGGACACTAGAAAATGAGAACAGAGGCAGCTGATGGTAAGGCATCACTGCCTCACTGGAAACTCTGGAAGAGTTACCACACAATTCTAGACTGATTATCTATCTATCTATCTATCTATCTATCTATCTATCTATCTATCTAT